TGAAGTAACAGTGCTTGAAGTGAGATGCAGGGTTATGGTCATGCAAACGGAACGCGGATTCTGGAGCAATGTCTCAGTTTTGGCTATTAAAAGTGATAACAAAGGTAAAACAGTATGATATTAACAAGTGTTAATTATAAAGTACAAATAGTCTTGCCATTCTTAGAATACAATGAATTGAGGCTCATAGCTGCCCCGGAAGTCTTTTTTTTGTCCACCGCCTTTTCGAACAAAAAAGGGGGATAAAGAAATAGGTTCTGTCCGTCTTTCCGTCCGTCCGTCACACTTTCGTGTCCGGTCCATAACATAGTCATTTATCAAAGAAATCTTAATTTACTTGGCATAAATTATTGTTATAATAAAACAATGTTTCATGTGCAACAACAAGACCCCTCCAGGGTCAAGGTAACACTGGAGCATTCAAGGTCAACTTTGTCTATTTGAGGTTTAATTTCGTGTTCGGTCCATAACTTTCTTATCTGTAAAGGGATTTTGTCAAGTATAACACATGCACCCCTACCTGCAAGGTCAATGTCACACTTAGATGTCAAATGTTAAAAAAGTCTGTTATTAAGTATATTTTGTGTCCCGTCCATTATTTTTCTTCATAGATCAAGGGAATTTGAAAATACTTGGCACAAAAGTCAAAATATAATATGATATGCCATGCGCAACAGATGTGTCCATACCTCCAAGGTCAAGGTCACACGTAGAGGTCAACGATTTACATAGTCTGTTATTTGGTATATTTTGAGTCCAGTCCATAGCATTTTCATAGATCAAGGGATTAAAAAAAATACTTTGCACAATTAATTAAAAATAATAAGTCGATATATCAGGCGCAAAACTTAGAGGTCAAAGATTAACATGTTAAAGGGTATATTTTATGTCTGATCTATAGCTTCTTCATAGTTCAAGGGATTTTGAAAATACTTAGCGCAAATAGTGACAATGATAAGACAATATGTCATGCACAACATCTGCACCCCTCCCTTTAAAGTCAATGTCACATTTAGAGGTCAAATCTAAACATGATAGATTTTGAAATTCCATGTTTCATTTTATTTCTTTAATAAATTTATTAATGCATTTGCATATCTAGCATTGATAGTAATTTTGGACTGAACGTCCTGAGATTCATACCTCAATCTTTTGAAATAGCACAATTTTACGCTTCATAAAATAATTTCCCCGAGGCGGAGGCCATTGGTAACTCTTTTACAAAGTCTTGTTATTTTTTCGTTATTTATGTATCCCTCGTAACCCTTTGTAGAAGACAAAGTTAGTTTTTTTTTCATTTAAATTATATAGTTATTAAAGGTATTTATTGGCTTAATAACGATTCATTTTAAAACAAATATTGTACTTTATTATTATTAATTGTCTGCTGAAATCAAAGCTAAACAATGAAATGACAAGATCCAACAATAAAATTTCAAGAAAAGTTAGACAGCCAATCATTTTAATTAATATTTGAGATATTTTAAATAAAAGTCTTTTAATATGATAATGATCAAACAAGTTTAGAAATGGGTTGTGTATGACAACATTTTTATTCACCGTTAAAACATTTTGAGTAGAAACCAATTTGCGAAATGGTATTATTTGTATCTTGACAATTACCAATAGGAACGCTTTTTTCTAAAGGATGAAATTATCTGAATGTAGATTATTTACGGTTTCCTCACTTCTGATAAAATATCTTTAAATATCCAAACTTTAGTTCAGAAAACTGTCAAAAATTGTCCCTGTTAATTATTAAATTGTGTTAAAATTTGCATACAGATACGTTTCCTTGAAGGTATTAATTAACAATCCGATATTGTCATTTTTCAGCTCATGACGGTGTTACTTCTTTGGCAAACTTAATATATTGTGGCATTACCATTTGCCTCATAGCTATAGTACTTTCATGCATCCTGGTGGTTTTAAGGTGAGTTTTACAGTAATAGTCGTTTATCTTTGAAATACCTCCAATGTTTATTAAATTTGATTAACAAAAGACAAAAGTTTTTAATGACAACAGTTGCCAAATTGACGTGGTATAGTCATATCGTTTTATTTTAAATTTGGGGAAATGTTTAACATATCTATATATTTCTATCTCATATCAATAACTGTTTATTATTACCAGAAAATAGATAAATAAAAAGACACCAACATATTAGTTTCGTTTTGGTACACAAAGTATTTACCACATTTCTGTTCTGGATGAAAGAAAATCATTTTGAAGTTCTACATTCAATATATTGTCGCTTGGTACATTGAATTGCTAAAGTAATCAAAAGATGTTTTCATTTTAAGATTGTTGTAGAGCTTTGTTAATCGTAAAATAGTGTTGCTACATTTCTTTATAGCAAGAACTATACTTACATATTGTTAGAAGTAGAACGTATTTACTTAAGTTAACGACCATTCCAGAATAATTATGTTAATCACCAATTTCTAAATTTGTGTATCAATTTAACTATTATGGCGAGAAAAGTGTTGGATTAGAAGTTTACACTTTTGACAAAATCTAGTTTTGAAAAACATACCACCCCGATAACTCGGGCATTGTTTGACAACCCCCACCGCGCATAACACAGTTTTTAAGCAATTATGAGGAAATTAAATAAGTTGATTATCTTGCTAAAATATGTTTGTTTGTTATTGCTGAAAACCTTAATGTTATGAGTCAAACGTGTTCAAGGTAGGTTACCAATCATTATCTTACCTTAGATATATATTCATATGTTCTTGCAACAGATCAACAGTTTAAGTCAGGGCCTTAACGTAAGATGACAAATCATGTCCACTAAAAACTAAATGTGAATCATGTTAATTTGTCTGAATTAATTATGCGCTGCATAAAAAACAATTTTGGAGAAATAAGTGTTCAATATGTGTGACAAACTTTACTCAATGGCTTATGATATTACAAAGTCCTATACAGGTCTTTCAGATAGACGGCGATAATGTACATAGAGTTGCTTTATTGGATGTCAACTCAATTTCATTGTTAATCGCGGCAGAAGATTATGCATAGCATGACTTCAGATATAAAATTAGACAATGTTTTTTTAATTAAAACACAATTTAGAATAGATTAAATTTGATAATTCTAAATATATTCATTTAAAAAAATATATCTGTTTTGTTTAAAGTTTATTGTAGGGCAATGTGAAATATTTTTATCAAATTTCACATAACATTCAATATCTCAAAGGTTGACAAGATTTACTGAAAGTTTTGTTTTCTTAAGATTGTGTACTTGTTTTGTTAATTACAACAATGACATATATTCAAATTCATTCACAGGTAAAAATGTATATCAATAGACACATTTTCAAATTCGATGATGTATGCTGTAACTACATCCCCAGAAAATAAATAGTAAAATAATTGACCATTAAATAAAGGAAAGATCCCTCACAGAAAATAGTGTTGTAATAGTTTTAGACTATTGTCTTAAACTCTTATTCACAAAATATTTCATTTAAGAAATGTATACTGCTAGTACATAGGAAAGCAATGACATATTATCATTACAACTAAAACAAGATATGTTTGTAAAACATGTATGCCCCCCTATCGGCAGCCAATTAGTCATGTGATCAGTTTATTATGCATGACTTCTGACCCAGTGAACAAACAATTAATAAGGGTTATCTAGTATCTACTGGTCATGACTAGTCACAAGGTAATAATTATTGTGACCCCATAGGTTGTGTGCAGCAATTTAAGTTATTAGTTTGTTTGTTTGTTTCATTTTACGCCTTTTTCAAGTCAACAGTATTTCAGTCATATAGGCGGGTAGTTTCCTAACCATCGTTACTGGAGAGTTACACCAGTACTAGACTACCTTCCTCCGCGATAAACTACCAAAGCAGCTCCCGGAGATCGAACCTACGCCAGAGAGGTAACTTGATTAGAAGTCATCGACTCTAACCCCTCGACCACGGAGGCGGTTTTAAGTTATTACAAATCTTACCAAATAATATATGCATAAATTTTATGAATCATGTAGGCCTAATTATTGACAGCCAAGTTGTTATATTACATCAGACCTTCAAATGTGTATACCAAAAGCATTTTTAGTAAATATAAAAATATCAACCAAGGCAACTTGAGTTGTTGAGTTATTGGTCAGAAACCGTCATTAAGTACAAGGTCAATATGATATTGACCCCTTGACCCCAAAGCAATAGGGGTCATCTACTGATCATGACCAATCACCATACCAAGTTTAAAGTTCCTAGGCCTAAGGGTTCTTTAGTTATTGATCGGAAACCGTTTTTCATTCAAGGTCAATGTGACCTTGATTTTTGACCCTTTGACCCCAAAATCAATAGGAGTCATCTACTGGTCATGACCAATCACCATACAAAGTTTGAAGTTTCTAGGCCTAAGGGTTCTTTAGTTATCATTCGGAAACCGTTTGGTCTACGGACCGACGGACCAACGGACCGACAGACCGACAAGTGCAAAGCAATATAACCCCTCTTCTTCGAAGTGGGGGCATAATTACATAATAAGAGAATTTTAATAACAATAAGATGTTCACAATTAGTTTTGTTTGGTAATTTGGCCATTTGTTTTGAAAATGCATCCAATGTGAGTAATTCTCAATAGTGGTCTATTCTTTCTATAAGATATATGAAGGAAAACTTTATTAGATTTCGTTATCATCTTAAACATTGCTTGTGTAAAAATATCAAAGACAGATTGTTTTTAATTAGGATTTTTTTAAGTTTTTAAGTAAGTTTTTTTATAGTACTAGGAAGTTTATGTATTGAGTTTCTGGAATAATAACAAATACATAAGTTTATCTTAAATATTCGAGTGTAAGGTGATATTTAAATAATAATTAAATTTGACGGTGATAATACATTATGCAAACCAGAGAAAATAAATGATTCATGGGGGTGTTATGTTGTTGTTGTTGTTTAAAGTACTGTTTTGAATATATTTTTATCCTACACACAATGCAGACATTAGGTTTGACTTCTAAAAACAGAAACAATTGATAATATATACATGACTTATCAAAATGCTGACATAGAAGTTTGTAATGGTAAAACCTCACCTCTTAAATAATTTGGTTTTGGGTTTTTAAGACTATATATTTTAACATAAATATTTTCTAAGTTATAACCATGAATGCCAATTTTGAAACTGTAAATGTCTTTCCCAGTATACAGCTCGAAGTAATAGAACGTTTTTCCACGAGTTTATTCTGTTGTTTTCTCAATAAACTATGTCATATTTAAATGAACGTCAAATTTAAATTATAACTTCTGATTAACTTAAAGACTTTTTTGATTCCATTGCAGAGTTTATGTGTTGTGTGATAGCATCGGTATGTATTATTGTGTGTTTGCGCGCGCGCGCCTGTGTGTGTGTGATTATTTGTCTGTGTCTGTGGTAATTCTATTTCGATTAATTTTTTACAACAGATTTACATGTATAAAATATTTACTAACCACACCCCTACCCCCAATTGTTAAACGGAATAGTACATTATAGATTTTTTATGTATTAAATACGAGGGATGATAAAAAATTATCCGGACTTTGTAAATAGTTCTTTACCTGTTAAATGAATTTACATAAAAATATACGGAAAATAAATCGGAATGATTCAAAAAATACCAACAAGAAATATTAACAAAGAAAAAAGATATGCTGTTTTTGGCATGTACATGTAAAGCAATGCGGCGCACAGTATAACTTTAAATTGACGTTAACGACGTCACAAGCGTATTGTTCTTAACGGAGCAGATTTTTACTCATTCATGGAGTAGGTCGATTCGTGGTCATGTTGTTGATACGGCGGATCCACTGCCTATATATATTTCTGTACAAGTGGGTATCATATTGTATTGTAATAGAATGGATGATGATAAAGGGCTCCTGTAATCACGCAAACTACCGTTCTGTCCTATTGTAACTTGATTGTTGGAAAAACCGCACAAGCAATAAACTACATTATGTATTACAGATAATGTAAAATAATGTTGCTGAATGATGATGTATCAAAAAAAATTAAAAGAATAATACATCTATGAACACAATTGTCATTTTGTTTAAATAAAAAAAACACATAGCCGATTTTGAACAGTGACTATTAAATTGTTGACACAATTTCTCAATAAGACTTCTGCGTAAAATAAGAAAATAAATGATACAACTGTAAACCAAGAATAAGTTACGGTATATGCAATTAATGCATCAAATATTATCATTCTAAAAGAGTTGACTGCACCGTCCGGTTGCTACTGTCGAGCATCGTCGGCAATGTCCGAAGTCAATCGACCGTCAATTTTTAACGTCTTGGCGGTAGACGTCACCAACGTCTATGAAAATTTCCTTTTTCTGTCTCTCATTTACTTGTTTTTTATTTGTCTATAACCCTTTCTTAATCTTTTATGCTTATAAAAATATGCTGTGGCTTCCTGGAACTTTTCCCTTGATAGCCATAATCTTTTTCCACGTTTTAAACAGTTTCTCATCTTACTTTTTACAATTTTTATATACGACATATAGCTTTAACGAGAGTATTTCTTTAACAAGTGAGATTTGAATTGTGATCGAAAATAGAAATATGGTTTAAATGAAGTCATTTTTACTGACAACGTCAAATATATGGTGAATGACGTTTTGGCGTATTTTGAAATCTAAATATGCTATATTGTAAAATAAACGCAGCATAAAGCGCCTGATAACAAGGCAATTTACGCACTGCGCCGGGTGTGCGTTACCATGGTTTTTGAATTCGCTGTAAAGGACAAGCTATTTGCGTTATCAGATTAAATATAGCACCAGTTAACAGTAATTGTTTTCCGATTAAGTGTAATATATAACAATAAGTGATAAGTTGAAAATTCTTCAATTGACAGTCACAGTCCGGTTTATTTTTGATCATCCCTCATATCTTGAAAAAAAAACATAACATTCAACATATAAATATGAATTATTACCTTAATCCGATATCAAACACTGACGCCTGTCATGTTACTCCATCGAGTTTTTGAAACATGGCTTAACGCATGCCTTTGATCTAATATGCTACCGTTCAAATATACTTGATATCAAAATATTATGCCACGCTTCATATTGGTCAAAGGTACTTAAACGATAGTTCACGAGTCAATCTGAAGACAAAATAATCCCGACTTCCTCGAAATGATATACGACGAATTGTTTGATAAAATGTTCAAATATATGGTGGCTCATTTATGTCATTCGTGTTTTCGCCGAGACCCAGCCAAGCGAAAAATCAAGATTAAACTAGTTAAAATGGCGTGGTGCGAAGTGAAAAACTCGCTAATTAGCGGACGTGTTTTTGTGCCGCGCCCGCCGTTTTATTTCTTAAATCTCTCTCTGCGATCCCCGGTAATTAGCGTGTTTTCACTCCGCGCACCCGCCATTTTAACTTGTAAATTCCCGACTTTTCGCTTGGCGGGGTCGCCGGGCAAAAACGCTAAAGGCACACATCAGCCACTATAAAAACATTATTTCATGCAACTTGAGGACCGATTTGCCGAATAGAAGCACGGCCGACTGGAACCCAGGTAAGGTTTCGTTGTGAACGTTAGAACGTACGAAAAGTTTTGCGTACGAACATCGCGCCCGAAATAAGAAGGGTAACATAATTATTGTATTCCATCGGTTCTGGTCAATTTGATCATTTTGAATAGACTTGAAATATACAAAAGAACAAAATTCAGACAACAACAGAATTATGAAACATTAGTGAATAACCATTTTGTTTAAGTCTTCTAGCATTTGTCCCCCGTTACCCTACGACGCGTTGCGGTATTTAAGATACGCGCGCTTGATTGATAAGCTATCTAATCAAACCACTTCATTGCAAATGAATATAAAATACAACAGAATATCATAATAATTATTTGAATGCTAGAATTTATAAAGCGGTTACTGGTTTCATTTCAAATGATTTTAATTATTTGAAATAATGGTTTGCTAGTAAAATTGCCTTCATGAAACCAACTTTCTTCTCACTGATAACGTTTAACTATTGATTATTTAAGGGACTCCACTGAGGTTTTTTGACATGATGGGACTGAAAAAAATTTCCAGATCTTTGTACCATTTGATGTAGGTTTAGACCACTAATCTTGGTGAAAAATTTCAGATCATTCGTGCACTTCGTTTTTCCAGAATAATTATTGAAATTGTAAAAAGATGACACAAAATGAAAAGCGTTTAAACACTTTTCACTCAAATAGGGCTACGAAAAGCATAAAAATACGATTTCCAATTTATTTCAAAGTATTTTCTTAACTTTCTTTGCATATATTTCTGTTTAAAGTATTCCAGGTCATTCATGTAAGAAATTCAAATGTTATGTTTTTAGGCTTTTAAACCTCAGTGGAGTCCCTTTAAGAAAGTAAAAATAATCAAATATTTATGATTACCGAGTACATTTCACGCTAAATGTGAGACGAACCATAAATGACGCATGGGTGCCGCCATTTTGAAATGGACGTTACGTCTGGTTACAACGTAAGTCAACGAGAAAAATATAATTTTAACATTTTGACCCTATTACTGACATAAAAAACATGCCTACAGATATTGACTTCCATGTTAGCATTACATTATTTTAAATGATTTTCCTATTGTTTTTAATAGATAATGGAATATTCAAATTTGGTGGGACAAACTATTATTATTATACTAGGTAGAAAACATTGTTTATATATATTAAGCATTTATCGGTTGTAAATGTAACGTGTGTTGTAAGAATTATGTTCATTTGCTATGATTTGTATTGTAGACATTTGAGTCTGCTATATCTGAGTATATACCGAATGCAAATTTTGAATCGATCATCAATTCGCCAAATTCGACTATCCTCAAGTCATCTAGTTTGATTTACGTTATTTCAAACTTTAACATAGACGTTTCCTATACAATATAACGAAATCAACTGTTAGCACATATATTAACACATGTATTTGACAATTGAAAAATAAACTTTTTGTGTTTTTCTCACGTGTATCAAATCATATTACGAGAAACACTGCAGAATATCGTTATCATACACTATCAATATTTGTCTTAGGACAGACTATATGTTCTCACTTCCGCAGGGCCAGGAATCGAAACTGAGTGGATTCTAACAATATCGGATATTGTTGCGCAACCTGTGTACGAAGAAGGTATATTTTTTCATTTATTACTCTTTTTTGAAAAACTTTAACGTGAATCTGTACGATGCATTGAACTCCTTCGGTCAGTTTATGTCGATAATAATGTCGATGAAATAGCTCATTGAAGTAAACAAACAAATTTGATAAATTGACATATCACGTTTTTAATGATATGAGAAACTATAAAAAGGATTGAAAACACATTTGTTTATTTTTTATATAATGATAATTATAGAAAATTATTAGTGTAACCGTATTCAAGATTCATGTTATTTTTCTTAACAATAAATGTAAATCGATTTATATTCAGATTTCCCTGAACTACAGGAACATCAAAGCGAAGAAACTGAATGTTTAGGTAAAGTAATAATTTTCATTTGCCATAGATGTTTACGAATTTATATTATACTTTATAAGAATAAACATTAACTAATGTGACACACTGGAATTTCTCTCAATATTTTTTCGATTCAAAAATATCTTTCAATGGTTAAATAGAATAAGGTATAATTTTTTCTATTTTAGACTGGTATTATATTGTTATTCATGACTTCAAATCATGTTAATCTAGGACTACTCTTTTCTCTGCAAAATATACAATATGCGGTATTTTTTTCTGCTGTTGTCATTAGCTCAATCTCCCCTTCATAATAATACAATATGTAACGCTTCGAGTCTACATTAAAGAAACTTGTTGTCCCGTTTTGAACGCTCCTATTCAAACTTATTCTAAATAATATCACATCACTGCCGGTATTTCTGGACATTTTGTTCATAAAACTGTGAGACAGAAAGTTAAATCTGTATTTATGAGCTAAAAATGTATACGCCTACGTTTAGGCAAATCTTATAATTAACATGTTTCCACGCACGCGAGTCTGTGTTCTCTCATTAGCGAGGAAGCGAGTAAAAGTGGACAATGTGGTTACAAACAAACCAATGCTGCACATATAGTGAACCAGTTTCCCTTTCTATATTTTTATTGTCAGATTTGCATGATAATGTAGTATTTATTGGTGATTATTTCTAACGTAGGGTTCAGTTGTGAGCGTTGAATCTTACGAAAAGTTTCATCGCACGAACATCGCGTACGAAATAAGAAGGGTAACATAGTTATTGTATCCCATAGGTTCTGGTCAATTTAATCATTTTGAACATTTTGAAATACACTTAAGAACACAGCACAGTTCAGACAACTACAGAATTATGAAACATTAGCGAAGAACCATTTTGTTCTAGTCTTCTAGCTTTTGTCCCCATTACCCTATGACGCGTTGCGGTTTTTAAGATACGCGCGCTTGATTGATAATCTATCAATTCAAATCACTTCTTGCTCCTTTTCTCTAAAAATGAATATAAAATACGACAGAATATCATAATTATCATAAGAATTATGTGTATGTTAGAATTTATAAAGCGGTTACTGGTTTCACTTCAGATAGTTTTAATTATTTGAAACAATGGTTTGCTAGTAAAATTGCCTTTATGACACCAACTTTCTTCTCACTAAAAACGTTTAACTTTTGATTATTAAGAAAATAAAAATAATCAAATATTTATGAAATATTTATGAGTACATTTCACGCTAAATGTGATAAGAACCCTAAATGACTTATGGGTGCCGCCATTTAGAAATGGACGTTACGTCTGGTTACAACGTAAGTCAACGAGAAAATATAATTTTAACATTTTAACAGTTATCTTACTGACTTAAAAAAAAAAACAAAAAAAAACATGCCTACAGAAATTAGCTTCAATGTTAGCATTACATTATTTTAAATGATTTTTCTATTGTATT